AGGTTATATTTTTATGTCACTTTTAATGTGTCTGATGCATGAAATAATCATCTTATACATAAGTATATTTATTTAATTGGAATATAATTGGATATAATGACTTAATATTAATTACATGAGTATAATTGGATATTATATATATGCGGATGTACATCCGCATATATAATATCCAATAAGTATATTCCTTTTCCTTAATTTATTACCTTTTTCAGCATGTAATGAATTGTAAATTCAAAACCTAAACTAATATAATCGGCGGTGGCCATTCGTGTCAGACGTTTAGTCTTTATTTTTAAACACAGAGCGCAATCATCTGTAAAGAGTTGTCAAAAAACCATTGCTTTTTTTTCAGCTTGCAGTTGCCACTTTATTTTTTTTTACTTCCTTATATTCCACTACAGGATTTTCAAATTCGTAAACAATGCGTTTAATAACGCACCACAAACTATATTATTTATTGATTCAGTACTTAGAATTATAAAACTATTATCTGATTACCATATAACTATGGAGCGATCACCATATTATGATACTTTATTGGACAGTATTTCCACTACATGAAAAATATGGCTATAAAATGGTAACACTAAACTGATAAAGGAAATTAAAACAATCAAATAAGCTTATAATATTTTTCTTTCTTTTCCTGGGGTATTACTGACTTAGGTGATAGTTTCAAAAAACATAAATATTAACTAGAATTAGTTTCCTGTAAATGACATTTTAAGACGCTCAAATTATATTCAACTACGAATTCGCCAATGTTCTTTGTGATCATCGCCGGCATTTGTGACATTTGCTTACGAATTTCGCTTAACTGTTCCCTGATATCTTTGCAGTCCTCGAAACGCTTTCTCTTATTGCGCGTGTTAACCTGTTGTGTTGATTTATTTGTAGACTCAGGTGTTGTGGGTAAATTTGGATCCGACCCACTTAGGCCACGATTCCCGGTACCACGATGACCACATGATAGGGGTCATGTTGAAGACGTGTGCTTCGGAGTTGGTATCGGTTTTAACGCGCCTTTTTCGCCTCTCCTACTCCACAAGCGTCGTCCCGAACTTCTGGAAGGTAGCGTTTGTACACCCGATGGCTAAAAAAGTCGACAACTCTGATCCGTCCAACTAGGGGCCTATACCCATAACCCCCTTGTTCTCTAAGATTATGGAATCCGTAATCAACTGCCAAAAAATATAACTTAGTAGTCTTTCTTCTAAAAATAAACAATTTTAAAATAAATCATCTTAACATAAACCACATTGTTCAAATTAAATTTTGATGAATTCTTTTACCGGTTACTAAAAATCTCATATACCCGGGTAGAAAACCCCAGACTGAACTCCTAACGGCTGTACCGATTTTGAAGGGTTTTTTTTGTGTTCAAGTGGTTTCAAGAATGGTTTAGATTCACGATTCGGTCCACTACAAACTGATTTATTTTTAATCTACGACCTATAGGAGCAGAGAAGAACCAATGAAGAATGTTGCATAAACGGGGAAGTATTCTTTTTGCGAGACGCAGACGAAGTAGCGTGGGTCAGCTACTCTTTATAATATATAATTCTTCTGTGTGTGGTGTATATGACTGAACTCCTGCTGCACTGATTTTGACGAATTTCTGTTAAATTGCTAGATTATTTTATCTACTATATTTTTTAGCGTTCGGAGTTTAAACACACTAAACATATAATTTCAAACTTACCCAAAGACTTCTGTTTATATTGTCCTCATACAGATTGTATTTATTAGAAAAATATATATAAAACGCACACAAATTTATTACAAAACCGTTATTACTTGAGTTCCTAATGCTACCTGTTTATAATATGTTTCACTGTTAACTGGCGGACTTTATCTTGTGTCACGGGCAACTCGCTCCAAGTAGCTCGTATATACACACGCATCTCTTTTTTACTTACCGTCACGTGTCACTATGTGCACACTTCACTCTACAGTAGATGATTTTACTTACTGATCTGTTTAACATTTACTTAATTCCTTAAACAAATTATAGAACGCATACGAACGTAAATGAGTATTTCCATCTAGTGTTGTAAACCTTTTTGTACTTTAGATAGGTATTTACCGTTCGTCATTGGTTCAAAGCATACCGACATAAGTTATTCTTGGTTGACGTGATTTTAGCCTATCACGGGACACGAACGAGTGCATTAGAAGAAATCGTTGTAAGTCCTATTAATAATATTTTTTTTATTTATACTGAATAATAAAAATATGCATTATATTTAAACGAATACTGAGCTTCGTGACAAATAAAGACACTTTTTATTTCGAGCAACGTCTGGAAAATGTGGACTCACGCGCCATACACAAAAGATATCCACGGCGCCTCTGCGGAGCTATCCGCACGGAATCGGTTAAAGGAATTAAATGAAACAGCGACTTATTTCATATAAATTTTATTACAAACTTTTTTTACTTAAACTGCAAATTATATACCGAAGAACATTGTCTAAGTAAACTGGAGACCCAGCGCACGTTGATCGCAACAGAGTTTACATGGGAAACGACTTGCCTAGCGACGCGACCACCGGCACTGGCCGCTTTGTATTACGGACGAGTTTTGTTAATAGCGTCACCACTAAGTACTCGTACATCACAAAACCTTCAAAGGAATATTGTTTTGATCAAATCATGTGTGTTTATTACAATTTGAACAAATAACATGCTTGAATGAATACCAAATAGATTAGGCTCGAAAAGTTAAAATTTTATTGAAATACTGCTTTGAATACGTTTTGCTGAATCATCAATTAGAGTAATGGAAGAAAATTGTATACCTTAAATGAATAAGCATTAAAATACATTTCAAGCCACATCTACTAATGACGTAGACTAGCCGTTTCTTTAAAATGTCTCATTAAACAATCCGAAAAAAAATCAAATGATTGAAATAATTTACAAAAATATAACATTCGTCACTTCAAAACATACAACACAATGAGCTTTATTTGATAAATATATAATCGAGTCAAAACTATCACTCAAGTTGGAATGAGAGTAAAAAATAAATATTAAAATTGAATTAAAATATTGTCCTTACTTGGACTCAGAGATGCTACAAAGAAAATTATGTAAGAACTCTTTATTTAATACCTATAGATGTAGCCATACGCTTAAAAGGCTGGGCGGAAAAGAGTAAAAGGTAATACATAAAATGTAAACAAGTGTCGGCTTACTAGAGCCAAATTGTAGCTAAGTAATGGTTATTTAATTTAACAACTCGATGAGATTTTGGACCTATATTTTTTGGAAATATTCGAAGTTTTTATTGTAAAAGAGTTTGTATTTCATAATTAACCATGATGTGGCTTCATCTACAGGTAAGCATAAATGTGTAATGTAAAAAAAGCAACTAAGCTGCTTGTACGGTATATGCTGCCCCCGATTTTCAAAACATGGGGGATCAAATGATATATATGATACCAAAATGACCATGCCTTGTACCGTTACCTTATTTAAATAGACCCAAATTTATGGAATTCCACATACTAAAGACGAGGGCACCATAGATATACCTAGATGAGAAAAGCCACGTTACCGCATGGGGACGGATAAAGGAAGTGATCTCTTTTATCGTTTCTAGCACACAAAAGCACATGGCTCTTGTCACATTAACGTCACATTACATAAGGAAACTTCCACTTTATGACTCTTCTTACCTAGTTATAATAAATGTTTTGAAGGTGACCTCCGGCATTCGTTTAGACTTGCGTAAAATTAGTATTTTTGTTGCATTATTTAACAGCCAAACACTCTGTATCTCTGAAAGACACAGCTAGCGGCTATTTGTAGCCGAGCTATTTTAGAACCAACTGATGCTCATCGCTAACTAGTAATGCTCGCCCCACAGCCTCACCTGTCTCTCGACTTGAATTTGTACTTTACAACTGCTATTGCGTGTAACTAAGTTCTCAGTAGATTGCATACTCACCAGACGCGACAATTAATATAAAAATCTATTGCCCACCATTGGGTTGCCATTTATAGTAAACTTAAAAAAAGAGACAATAATAATAAATTATCCTACTATTTTTTTAACGATTCTAGTGTTGCTAGTCTCAATAACGAGAAGTTACAAGTATTAATTAACATGCATTACTAGTGAGCGATTTATAGGCTGCTTACAAACGCACCCCATTCTGTCATATATACATGTTGGTAACGTAGCCGCGAGCATAAAACTGATTTTATCAAATAATAGGTATGACTTGGTAGTTGAGACATAAGCGATTTTTAACACTAATATTAGTGTTATTTACAGTGCACAAGTAACAGACAAAAAAATTTTCAGTATGTAGCATTTTAACCATATTCATAAACACGTAAATAATTATCGCGCATCAGAAATGTAGGACTATGTCTACTTTTTTAACAAGATTCATGCCTTCTGTTATGTAAGGGCAGAGGTAAGGGTAGGATAAATGTACAGACGTGTGTCTAAATAGTCTAAATAAAGAAATGAAATGAAAGTATTCATTAGTCTAAAAGCGACAATAATACTGCTCGTAAAAAAAAGAATTGAACAAAGACATTGTTTAGAAGCTAAATGTAAACATTAAGGAACTTAACAACATAGCACACTCCTCTTGTACAAACTAGTTCTATGTTGCACACCAGGAAATATTTAAGTATTTACATATTTGTGTTTGAGTACGTCATTTGTATATAAACACATTTATATGCTAACTGTTTACATTCCGAACAACAGTATAACGCTTATTTTTAACACTATGTACAGAACACTGGATAGTTAAGTATTGTTGTACACTGGACACTATGATAAGTAAGGTATTTATGTAAACAATTTAGTTTAGAATTTTCTAACATAAACTTTACAGCTTATGAATATGGTTGGGCCGTTTTGCAAAATGTTTTTGATAGGAAATGATGCACGTTCGCGGCTATGTTAGGACATTTATATGAGAAGCATACGCGAGTATAAGCGAGCCGGCAGCGCGAGGGAACCACCGCGCGGTTCAGTCGATGTATTGCGCAAGCCAGCGGAAGCCTTCGCCGTAGCCTTGGCGCTTCAGCACCGAGCACATGAACAGCTCGAGGGGCCGTCCGGGTAACTCTGATCGCGATACTTTGCCCTGAAATGAACAAACAGATTTGTTACAAAAATTTAAACACTCATCCTTTTGGTCTAGGTCAGGTTTTGAACGATTGGCCAGAACCCCGATGTAATTTCCGACCATATTGTAATTGAATTAGTTTTTCAAATTTCATTTAACTGTACATTGCAAGTATGGGTGATGATGCCAAATGACTTATCATGCTTTAGGGAGGCAGGAAACTGGCCAATATTAATATCAATAACCCAATGTTCCGATCGATAGATCGTGTTTGTAGAAGGCAAATAAACTGTCTGTAGATATCAATGTCTGAGATTCATTTTAATGAAGCCTTGTATAGATTACTATCACAACCTAAAAAAGTTTAAAAATCACATCCTTCACCTACGTCCTGCGTTATGGACGCTTATGACTTGTTATGACAGTTTTTAAAATCACAGTTTCCACATTGACACTGCGATTTTAAAAACTGTTACAGTTTCTAAAAGCATCATATATTTTCCTACCGACCTAACAATCAATTAATAACGAATCATCGGAGCTAATTTTGTCATTATTTGTAATTGTAAAACATTGTATTTAACTTTACACATACATTTCTAATAAAGCCGAGGAGTTTGTTTTTTTGTTTCTTTGAACACGCTAATCTTGTTTTTTATTATTATATTTATTTCATATCCATCTAGAGTAAATTAGAAGTTTAAAGGCTACGTAACATTACGCTACTGTAAACTGTTTATTACATACGCGTAAAAAGTATACTACTTTCGTGACAACGTCAATTAGAACATATTCGATCCAGTCGAACGAGCTTCGGTGGCGATCCCCCTTTGATCAATTTAATAAGAACGTCAGAGAAAGAAACTGTATAGTATATACGAAATGTTAGTGAGATTAATTCCGCATGTAATATTAAAAGTTTTAATTTTTAACAATAAAACGTGTATCTAAAGCATAAAATCATGAATTCACATCATCACATCAACAGCCTTTAATAGTCCACTGCTGGACATAAGCCTCTCTCTCCTTAGAAAGGAGGTTTTGGCCTACTATACCACGCTGGCCAGACGGGTTGGTATAGGGTTTGTGTCAAGTTTTCCTTCTCTCTGCAGTGCTGTTGTTCTGCGTAGTTTTCTCCCTTAGTAGGCTGTTACGACACCCACGGGATGAATAGGGGTGGTGACACTCTGTATTCTTAATTCGTCACCACACGGATCATGAATTAGATAGGACATTTCTAACATAAGTTGAGACATTTAAAAAAATTACAAGTAAGTATGTACATAATGTTAAATTAGTAGCAATTTTACTGAATTACCGGAAAATTATGTTAAGTGAATACAAATTTCTCTGCATTAAAAGTAACTTAACAGTATTTTTCTACAAATCGCTTTAATTGCAGAAAAATAGACCCTTTTAAAAAATTTCTTCCGCCCCACTTTCTTAAAAACACACTTACACTATGTATGTAATAATAAATTAACGTTGCATTAGCTGACAACCAAACATAGGGATCTTAATTGATTCTGTTATTATGATTCAGATACTGTTTTTTTATTATTTGCTACTTTAAGTAAGCAAAACGATGCTCGACGCCGTCTCCTCATCGCAATTTTTTTAGACGGTGGTGAAGGTTAATTGTTTCTGATGGACTTATCGCAAGATTTTATTCTATATAAGAACATTTTATTCGAATAGAATTTTATGTCATACCTTTAATTTTCGTTTTTTGTTAATTAGAGTTATTTCATGCATTTCTAACGTAGCCTTCAAAAAGGCAATAACAGATTCAATTAATTATTATTTTTAGTTCTGTGGTGAGCTTTATCTTTGTTTATTTGTCTGTCGTTTCAGACGTCGACAACGTTCGGCTCTATAATCAGCGGTTGAATAACTAGTTTCTAGGTATCTTAAAGTTTAAAAAAACTATCCATCAACTTAAACTACAAATTACGTGGCGACAAAACATGTTATGCAAAACAATTTGTCACACAATACTACAGCCAACTTTAGCGTTTCGAACGTGGAACAAGGGCTCTTCGAAGATGGGACACGAAAGAGACAGTAACAATTCCATTCGGGTTACCTAACCATCAGCGTCATTAGTCCGCCTATTGCATTATCTGTCACCGCGAAGTTGGCGATTTTTAAAACTAGCATTTTCAGATTTAATTATGTGTGGATTGGCGAGTAATTAAAAAATTAAATAAATTTTATTAAAAAGTCATGTTTTTTCATTTAAAATTCAGTAATTTGTTTCAAATAGTGGCTCGTTTTTGTGAAATTGTGATAGTTTTTGGAGCCGTGTATAAACTGAAAATTTGTACAATTTTCTAATGAGTTCTTACGTGGAAATACCGGTAAAAAAAAAAACCTTTTTTTTTCAAGTTTTCATACAAATCTCTAACTTCGTGGGTAAAACCTATTATTATATTATAATACGAAAAATAATACATGAATACGAGATAAAAACAATAAGAATATATATGTATATTTATACTCTGATAAAATCAGCAATAAATACTTACACCAAGTAGAAGATAAGTTCCCAAGGTTAGGAAACAAGTCGTCTGTGGCAAATGATTTTATTAAATTACGTTTGATTTTGAGCTAGTTATCACCTTTGCGCAAACTTGCCGAAATAGAAAAAAATACGATTATTGTACCGTGTAAACGGCCGATAACGGTTAGTTTTGTAAGTATTTATTTTGAAGTCAAGCTAGGTTTGTGGTCATATAATATCGAAATTGAGTCTACTATGTGCAAACGTAGTAAGGGACTCTTAGGCTCAAACTTAGAGTTCCGGCATGACGTGATGACTGACATCTGTAATAATTATAAGCTATATCTAAGGCTTTAAAACACATCATCAGGTGTTTTGTAGTCACTTGAATTATCTTTTTGTTTTACACCTTTCTTCATTTATTTTTCTTAGCTTATTATGGATTCGGTTCTATGCGCCGCCGATAAACATTATACACTAAAAGTCAATATATTTACACTTCATGAATAAAGGTGGTCTCTTTATCTGTTACTAGTTCTTACTTTATATGTATCCTATGTGCTATGGCCGAGTATAATCTTTCTCTGTCTCACCGTTCTGGCGTGATTGAGTAACTGACATCCACCTACACTTTCGTATTGATAACAGTAGTAAGATTGCTATGATAGATGATAAGATGATAAAACTAAAAAAAAATCTTGAATTTGCATACCGCCTCGGTATTAAATATAGATATTCTAATACTTATTTTTTTTTATAAATATGTTCCTAATTTAACATACTTTTTACTCCTAACAATGCTGCTAATAAAGCATACTGCATCTTAATCGAAAAATACAAAAACAGGACAAGCAAAACTTTTTATCTATACATACTTGTCTAAATAATAAATTCTGAGTCCATATTTATTTTGTAACTTAAATTTTGTGTTTCTTTGTAAGTATCCCTGTTTATGGCTAAATTTGAGTTTTTTTACTTTTAATATTATTAAAAGTAGCCTGTTAACATTTTATGTTATAGATCGTTGTTCTATTGTGACAGATGGCGATTTTAAAAACTGTAACACGACATTATTTGTTATTTTCATAATTTTACTTGTTTCATATTTGTAACGGATGTACTAGTGAGTTATTAAATCATTTTACTTCTTTATGCAAATTAGAGTATAAAAATCCGCGGCAATGATAACTAACATAACGACACAAATAAAATAATTAGGTCAGGATGATAGCAGTATTAACTTACTTCGTGTTTTACTCTGTGCTTTTACAATATCGTATATTGTATCAAAATATAAATGTGTTGTGGATATCAATAATTACTATTTCCACACCGCCACATTTTGTGCATAAAGTTATTAATACTTATTTGACGATGTTAAAAATCGACGATGGAGTCAAATTTTAACTTTACTTATTTTTACAAGCTTTAGAAGTGTCAAAGGGTACAACGAACAAACTCGCTTTTGCATTTCTAATATTATAATGTTACTAGCTGACCCGGCAAACGTTGTATTGCAAAACCAAAAAAAAATTGGAAAAATAGATGTTGGCCGATTCTCAGACCTACCCGATGTGCACACAAAATTTCATGAGAATCGGTCAAGCCGTTTCGGAGGACTACGGGAACGAACATTGTGACACGAGAATTTTATATATATCTAAGATATTGTATTTACAAATGACACAATCTTATGTCGTTTGAAACGTCAACAGTTACAACTGTTTTTTTTAATTTCTTTTAAAAAAAATTAATTTCCTAACTGCAGACATGGGTACTCAAAGAGGTTCTCTGTATTAAGTTAGATAGTCATTATGGGTGTATCTAATCATCTTACCTTTCCAGTAGTTTGTTGGTATAAGTTGAAGAACTGGCGAAGCTCGTCTTCACTGGCCGCGCCCGGTTTGTCAATTTTATTACCAAGGATGAGGACAGGGCAGTTGCTGAGTGTCTCGTCAGTCAACAACGAGTCCAACTCGGCCTTAGATTCGGGCAAGCGGGCGCGGTCACATGCGTCCACTAAAAACACTATGGCGTCTACTGCGGGGAAGTAATCACGCCATACGCGTCGAGCCTGTTGATGCCCGCCGAGGTCGAACGTGGTGAACCGCATACTGCCTATTGACAGCTCCTCCGATGCTAAAGACAAATTTCAATTGAATTAGAACAATCTGATTCAAATGTCAAAATATATGCTCTATTTTGATAACAAACTGGCTAGGATGCTGGTAAAGATAAATGAACATCTGTTGCAGAACGTCTTTTCTCGTTTTTACGTGATTTTTAATTTATTTTCTGTACTTCTTTACATAAATTTCTTACATACGAGTAAAATGCATTAAGATACTTCTTACATATTACTATATACATTTATAAATAAGTAGGATCTTCAAATATAGGTTCACTACTATGTCTATGGAAACTAGAAGTATCATATGATTGTAAAACAAATTTATTCAAAGTAGGAAATGAGACTGGGTTCTTCAATAATTAATATTAATTATTCTAAAACAGTTATCATTTTTATTGTCAAGTAAGAACTAGTTTGATAAAACTTGCATTATAACAAACACAGCTAGTTCCAATGTCTGGTTTTTTATCATTTAAATTTTGCACATATTACACACAATCATTATTTTTACTGGAACCTAGTTTTTGAGTTTTGTACAAGGAACGAAAATGCCTAGAAAACATATTGGTCTTATACCTGTCACTTAATCTTTACATGTAACTACTCTACTAACTATCATAAAGATTTTGGATGTAATGGAAATTCAGATTCATTCAGATTTTTTTAAATGCAATGCATGTATGCAATCAATCTTGTATGATTCTGACAGGTAACTTTGACATATTCTATATTGAAAACTTCACATAAAGCAAGTCCAATAAATAAATGTAAACAACTAACAACTTGTTTTTTTTTAAATACCTACATATGTATTTCACACATCATTAGCATTCTAATTCCTTCAAAGATTGTTTGTATTATGAGTGACTTCAAAATTAGAGTGTGTAAAACTGAAGCTCATTCTTGGCTTTGGTGATAAAAAAACAGCATATTTTGAATGTTTTACAAATATATTGGTTTTTGTTTTTGGTAGATGTCTCAATAGTTCTCTTAATATATAACTCGGAACAAAATTGCAATTTCCATCACTTCCATTGGTATTGTGATCATTAAAATTAAAACCTCAACATACATCATCATACAAACAACACCAACAGAATTATCAATAACCAAGAATAAATTACTACCAACACAAATACACTTTACAACTATCGTTTTATACTCACTGGGATGTAATGTTGGTACATGCTGTGCAAGTTTGTCATCTTTCAGCATGTGCAATAATGTTGTTTTGCCAGCATTATCCAAGCCCAGGAACAACAACTTTCCAGACTTCTTCCACAAACCTGGACAAAGAACATAAAAATAAATTTGTAATTAAAATTAATCTTACTTATCTGATATGAGTAAGCCTAAGTTAAATTTCTAAACATTAATTGCAGTGGATTAATAATAATTGTTGTAATTACAAGTTATTAATTAACCTCATCATAGTTTTCTGGTATGCGCTATACATATTTCTGATATATGCTTATAAAATAATTACTTAATAAAAACTCATGCAGTGCCAGTTGGAAAATGTTGTGTTAATAATCCAATAACACTTATAATACTATACTATACTTACTATTTCATCATCATCACTATTAGAAAGATTATTTAGTCATAACTTTCTGTTTTAAACTAAAACATTTCATTTGAAAGCAAGTTTAGCAAAGAACAAAAAAATATGCTGTATTAAATAAATAAAAAATGATTATAAATGATTGTCTGAAACTAAATATTCAAGACTTTTACTTCGTGGAAATATTCAGATTTAGTATTATCATTTACATAAACACTTTTATAAAGAACTAAAGCTAGAAAAGAATGTTTAAGATAAAGGATACATAAACAATGTTAAGAACAGAGTTCGTTCATTGAAATAACAGAAACTTTTAAAGAAAATTTACTAGGTTTAAATTGTAGTTTTCAGTTTCAAAGAGATTTACAAAAGATGTTAAGTTACAAATTTTAATTACAAAAGAATTAGTTTTACAAAACTAACTTAAAAAGAGAAGATACTTTTCCTTTCCATATATGAAACAATATGTCAGCATTAGCTAAGGTGAGTAGGTCAGTGTGCCAACCTTAGCACATACAACCTCCATGGTCCATCAGAATTATGAAATAACTTTTGTATTCTCTTATTTGTTTATTAAAAGTACAGTTTACAAATTATCTTCATTGTTTAGGGTTAATAATATAAACAGATAGGAATAAAGACTTACAGTCCATGTGTGGATTCATTTTAATTAATTATCTAAGAGAAAGAGAAAAGAAGATAACAAATAACTTTATTAAACAGTATAATAGTTACTACATACATAAGATTTACTATGATTGACTAATGGCTAAAGATTTAATATTTTAAATAATACCCAATTACTTTACTACTTCATGTCTGTAACATTATTCTATTATAGATACTGTAGCAGGATTTCAGCTTTATTGCAATGATCTTAAAAACGATGTAAATTCAGATATGGTGAGATATGAGAGAAATTAGTTATTTTGTACCTTTTGGTAATTTATAAGTTTCGTAACAATACAGATAATCCGATTTCAAAGTTAACTTACCAAGGAATCCAAGGACACCAGTGAACCAATCCAAGATAAACATTTTGTATCTGGAACGTAGGAAATGTAATTATTTCAGGGTATGTCCACCTTCATCACAAAGAATTACGTATCGGATGAGTAATGACTTGCAAATCTGTGTGCTATAAATTACGACTTAGACTTTGGCAGTATTGTATCCACCACAATGCCACATACAACGCACATGCCTCAAACTTGTTGAGACATAGAAAACGTAATAGGAATACAATATTGAATTGAGTAACATATATGACAGAACGTCATTCGCGTACTTGAAACTTCGAACTTGAATTACACTAAGACTCGAATGCAATACTCACTTATTAAAATTGAACTAGTTTAACTAATGCTAAAAGGAAGTTTATCACAATAATTCACACTTATTGGCAATATGTTACGTCGCTAAAACCGACGATTTTTCCCAGCAACGAATATGCGATGGAATATGAATCTGTTGGCAATAATGACGTACGCTACTTCCGGATGGTGTCACATTGGCCTTTGGAAATGTTCACAGATATTTTTATAGTGTTTTCAATTTCACTTAAAAAATATATTGAAATTTTTGTTGAAGTAATTTTAAACATTTTCATTAAAATTTAAATATTTTATATTACGTAGAATGATTCTCTTCTCTTGTTAAAAATGTTACTATGTTAAAAAACAAAAAACACTGTAATTGAATATTTTGGTTGCATCGATATAGCAGGTTTTAATTATTAAAATGGTAACCTTTGTATTGTATACCAGTATTACCATTTTAGTTTTAGTGGTAGTAAATTGTACACTTTTACAATTCCCATGAAAACAAGTTACAAGACATTAGATGTATCTTCTGACAAATTTAAAAGCTTGTGACCCAGTGATTAAATTATTTGTTTCAAAAATTAAGAATTAAATGTGTCAAAATATAATGTTGAAATCAACAAAATTTTGATATTTTGTTATACATGTTTATTTATGGAATAGGGGGCAAACGAGCCCCCTCGGGTCACCTGACTACCCATGAATGCCTGCAAATCAGGAGTTACAAGCGCGTTGCCGGCTTTGAGGAAGCAGTATGCACTTTTCTTGAAGGTTTGAAGGTCGTATCGGTCCGGAAATATCGCAGACGATAACTTGTTCCACAGGTTGGTAGTGCGAGGCAAGAAGGATCTTGAAAAGCGCATAGTGGTGGAGTGCCAATTATCCAAGTGGTGGTGGAAAGTTGCGGCTGATATTAGTCCGAACAATTCCCCGGAACACTCTTCATGATATATACGATAAGAATGCAGAGTGAAGCTACATCTTTATGTAACGTCAAGAGATCGAGCCGGTCGGAGATCTTTTGGCTGTCAACGATGTGAAACATCTAATGTGGGAGTTCAGGCTAGTTGTTAGCGAGGCGACGTGTCACTATGGCATGCGTCTCTGCGCTATGTGAATGTAATTTTGGCGTCCTTTCTTCTAGTGCTTTCCCGTAGCACTCTTTCCTCTTCATTTTCATTAAAAAAAATTTCGCTAAAAAGTGAGCACGACCATGATATACAGACTAGGTACTGTAAGGATTTTCAGTTCCTTAAATAAGTGCTTACCTGAAACCTGCTGGTCTAACTTCAACACGGTTGTTACAGCTCTTTTTTGAGCAATGAAAGCTCTTTGAATATTGTAGTCATAACTACCACCCCAAAACATAATGCTGTACCTGAATTTCGATTCAACCAAGGCAAAGTACACAGTTCTAAGTTGCTCTAAGTGTGCAACATCTCTTAGACTTCTTAACACGTAACAGGCAGAGTATATTTTAGCCTCTATACTGGCCAACTCACATTTCCAGTTTAAGAAACAGTCCACATGCACCAAAAAGAATTTAGCTACATTAACAGTCTCTAATCTATTTCCATTGAAAGTACAAGCTAGTCTGTCCGAGTTTTTATTTGTAGATTTGAACACGATTATGCTTGATTTATTTGCATTTACCTTAAGGCAGTTTAGTGCAATCCATTCGCTGAGATATCCCAAAGCCTTATTTACTCTTTTGTTGAGGTTCTCTAAGCTATCAGATGATATAATAGCGTGTGTCATCTGCAAAAACAGACAACTTTATGTGTTCCGGTGACTTATTATTTACACTACTTATTAGGTCATTGATGTAAATGATAAACAAATAATAGTTTAAAAAAACTAAAATTAAAAACACGCTTTTATAGAAAATCCAACTAAAAAAACAGAAAATAAAGTTTAATAAATTTGGATTAAGAATAGTGGAAATTTGATTAAGTTTGATTAAGTACAGTGTAAAAAAAAATGAATGTACATTATTGTAAAAAAGCGTGGGGTGAAAAAAAATGAATGTACATTATTGTAAAGGCAGCGATAATTTCAATGCGGTTTACAAAGACGTTTATTCTCGACAATTGTTTTTATTAAATACAACAAATAATTTGTTTGTAGTGAATTAAAAAAGATAAAAAACAATCGAAAGAGCAAGTCTGGAACTGCCCGCATGCGTAGTTCGCGCACTAGCTCTGTCTCTCTTACTCGCATGCAAAGGATGTGGAAAGAAATTAATTAAGCCTGGCGAATCTAATTAGGATAATCGGATATTTTGATCGGATTATTGCATTGTCATCGACCTTTGACAGGTGTGCAAAGTTTGAATCAAATCTGATCGTTCAAAGTAGGGCAAAATCGAGCTCAAAGGAGTCGGTTACATACAAATATAGGGCCGAATGTAGAACCCTGGGGCACTCCAGTTTTACCTCCAATTAGTTGAGATTTAAGTCTTTTTACATTTGGTTCGAACAGTCGAAGTTTGTTCATAGCTATCTGTCTTAATCATTACGAATATGTGCCTATTACTAAAATAAGAAGTAAATAATTGTTTCGCTGTACCTCTCACGCCATAATGATAAAATTTTCTATGAGTATGTCATACCTGACAGCATCAAAAGCGGAGCTCATATCAAGGCAAATCCCTGCAACCTTTTGCCTGTTATTCAAATTGTCTCGGGTTAATAACATTGTTTAAACCCAAATGTCTCATCAATCTTCCCTTAAGCAGGATTTCAAAGATTTTTGATTTTGTGGGTAATAAAGAAATCGGTCTATACATCTTAGTATGTTATTTTTGAGCCTTTCCTGTGTATAGGTATAATTTTAGCTATATTTAGCTGATCTGGAAAAATACCATCTTGTATACTTTGATTGTAAAAGTGACTTAGTGGTTCAGCCATTTTCACATCTGCCAGACGTCCTGCAATGGCTCTGTTTTTTTAATCATTTGGGTGACTGTTTATTTCCTCCATTGAAAAAATACATATAAATCTTTGTATCATGACATAGCGTAAAAGTCAGCTAAGTTAAAGGTAGGTAATATATGTTTTAGACCTCATTAACTATACACTTTATAATTTTGCATGGTTCAGATGAATCGCTCTTGTGAGAGCTCAGAATCGAATTCCGTATTACCCTTCATCGATTAACTGTTCGCTGAAAACGTCCTACGTCCGAAAGAGTAGTCGTGAAACTCCGAGGACGATTACGACTTCAATCTAGTATTTTTGTATTGCTATGAAAAATGTTTCGTTGTTTATTTTGGAACGAAATTCCTTATCGTGCATTACACGCTCTGAGCAGATGGGAGCGAGACAGAAAAATAAGTAATAAGACTTTTTTCCGACACGTTGGCACGTCGAAGCTCACATCTTTTTCGGATGTCATATATATGTGTGGCAAACGTCTACCAAAAAGCGAAAGGAACTTTGTCCCAACCGGGTGTTCATGAACCCATCATGCCGTTTTTTATTAAACCGGTTTTTTTCCAAAGTATGTTTTTAAACTAATACACTTAACCAAATGATCATCAACAGCAATTACTAGTCCACTGCTGAACATAAGCCTCTCCTTAGAAAGGAGGGTTTGGCCTACTATACCACACTGGCCAGACGGGTTGGTATAGGGTTTGTTTCAAGTTTTCCTTCTTTTTGCAGTGCTGTTGTTCTGCGTAGTTTGTTCCCTTAGTTGCCTCTTACGACACCCACGGGATGAATAGGGGTGATGACATTCCGTATTCTTAATCCGTCACCACACGGACGTACCCAAATGATCCCGTCGACAAAATAGTCAGTTTTATTTCTTGTCAATATGAAGATATTTTGCGCCGCACATCCTGCACTAATAGCATTTCGTCAAAAAGTAACATTATTTAAAAATTGAGGTATTAAAAAAATGAAGTTAAGTATATCCATTTACTAATTGTAGTAAAAAAAAAGCCGTGTGGTGTCGTGGGACACCCGATAGGAACGAAGTTGTGACGATCGAGTAAAACTGATTTGACACGATTTTAATTACAACGCCATCTATGAAAGCGGCTATTACCTACATATTAAAAACAATTAAAACAATTTATACATTGGTAAAATCTCCTTGCGAAATGATTTCCTATCTATTCGATAGATGGCGCTGAATGTCTGACAAGTGACATTTCAAAATAAATACTTTCTATAAGAGAGAGAGAGACAGACAGAGAAACATGCGACGCCGCACACAATTACAATAGCTTACTATAGCAAAAAGTGTCGTGACCAATTTTCGTAAGATTTTTTTTCCGTCAAGCCCCCTTTCACAACGCGCGATAAGGAACTTCGTTCCAAAAGATTATGCCTTTAACTTAAAGACCCATCATTAACACTGTTCAAAAAACTTAAACTCACTGACATATGGTGTTACTTCGATAAGCTAAAAATGCATTGAAAAAGTAATTATCTGACCCTTTATTTTTATACTGCCCTCATTACTCATCTCTATTTGTGAGTCGTATGCGGTGACTCAAGGGCTCAGACACAATATGAAGAAGCGTGAACTATTAGCTTTTAAATCAGGTAAAAAGAGCTACACAACTATACCTGATGTATTACTCTCTGGTATACCTCTATCTAGGGTTAACAAGTTAAGTACTTGGGCCACTGGGTCACTGAAGATTTAAGTGATAACCTAGACATATATACGGAGCGCAGGTCGCTGGCTGTCCGCTGTATCATGCTGGCTCGAAGTTTGCACGATGTACGTATGCAGTAAAGATTACGTTATTTAAAGCCCACTGTCAGTCATTCTACACGTGTAACTTGTGGGTAAGTTATGGTAGGCGGGCATACAGCGACCTGCATGTTCAATACAATAACGCACTTAGGGTGCTGTTGGAGTTGCCGTGGAGGTGCAGCGCATCAGGTTTAGGTTTAGGCTGGCATTTACAAAGGCGCAAGTAGACGGCTTTGCAGCCATAATAGGCAAAAGGCGCGTCTCGCTGATGACGTGTCTCCGCGTCAGTACCAACACCATCCTAAGTATGTTCAAAGATCGGTGGGAGACACCGATGATGCACCGATGGATGCGGCTACCTGCTGTAATATGTTTTTTTAATTGCTTTTGTTTTGTTAAAATAATTATAATTTATACTAACATTAGTAGTTAGGCAAACTATTACTACCATAATATGGAAAAGAAATATTTCTGAAATAAATCGTTATTATTATTATTCTCTTTATATCATTAAATATACATATAAGAGTAAATTACATTTTTAAATAGGTTTATGTACAAAAAAATACATTTAAAAATATAAAAAATATTGTGTAAATATTATTATTTTTATTACTTTATCAGTAGTTGTCATTAGTGTGGAAAAATTCTTGAAGTTTGCACAGTGGGGGGGTATCAGTTAGGGCCAAGGTAACAAATTTCAAGCAATTGAATAGTGAGTGACTTTTGTCCTGCTCGCAAGTTAACAACGAATGGCCGATAAGCTTATTTTGTCTCAATCACTGACATCATCCATAAAATATGAGCATAACCGGGTGACAAACAGTTTTACGATCATGGCAACTCAGATGGACTGACATAAAATTGACAAGAGAAAATTTCAAAGTAAATGCTGGCAACATTAGCAATCAAATTTCTTTCTAGTTTTTGACAGCTTTCAAAGCAAAAGGTATCCGCAAGTTTTATATTTAAAATGTTTAATTTGTGATTATAAACTGAAAAATAACACTATATCCTTATAATAGCAATCAATTTAAGTTGCCTTACAGCCAATTTGTGCGTTATAGTGAGAGGATTACTCTGATATTTGAGGTTACAAAAGTGGTTTCAGAATTGTTGTTATTTTCAGGCTAAGCCATGGCTCCAAGAAAAAACAAAGTTGCAAAAGAAGAGGTCCAAGTGACCTTGGGCCCACAGCATTTAGTAGGCGAGACAGTGTTTGGTGTTGCTCACATTTTTGCCTCTTTCAACGACACTTTTGTACACGTTACCGACTTGTCGGGACGGGAAACCATAGCCCGTGTTACTGGTGGTATGAAGGTTAAGGCTGACCGTGACGAGGCTTCGCCTTATGCTGCTATGTTGGCTGCTCAGGTATGTTTATACTCTATTTCCAGCAGTTTGTTGATAATTTTAAGGTTATCTGTCAGGAAATCATTTGTTTAGATTTCATCTGCACAAAGTTCCCGAGGGTTTATTCAATGAGCTTACAAACTCATTAATAGACTGAAGTCGCATGATTACCAGATTAATGAATAATTAAAACGAATTTAGATGTATTTTATAGTACAGACTCGTCTATATACATATAAAAATGTTAAGTAGGTTTGTGTAAGCTTGTACGTTTGTGTTTTGCACCAATTGAGCTCAAATGACACAATGTACAACACGCTTTAGTTATGGTTTTTATCTATTTGGCGTCACTTGTTTTTCGTTTCTCATCTATCCAACTACAGAGCGAAGCATGGCACGGTACAGCTAGTACTTTATATAAACCTAAAACTACTAACCTTTGGCTGAACTATAATAAAATGTACAGTTTTAGTGATGTTGGGATTTCAAGAAATTTTATTACCATTGTATATGCTTAATTGTAGCATGTAAATTACAGTTTAGATTAGGTTTCCAATTATTGGTCAAATGTTTCTTAATATGAGTAAGTGATTATTATAAAATGTTTGATTAGCACTTATTTTTGAGTTCTACTTGCAATAAAATATACTCAGTAATCAAAAATTATAAACAGTAGTTTCTTACAAATTAGATGTTAAATAAACAAATTGTTTTTATATGTTCATAAAAATACTTTGCACTAAATAAAAAATATATATTTAAAATATAACCTTGTTTGATGGTCAGACATTTAAAATATTACTAGACACATAATGAATTAAACTTAGACCTTAGATGTATTTCTTTACAAACTGTATCAATTTTAAAAACAACTCATAATTTGTCATACCAGGATGTTGCTGAAAAATGCAAGACACTTGGCATCACTGCACTGCACATTAAACTCCGTGCCACAGGTGGCAACAAGACTAAAACTCCAGGACCCGGTGCTCAGTCTGCTCTCCGTGCTTTGGCTCGTTCCAGCATGAAAATTGGTCGCATTGAGGATGTTACGCCTGTGCCATCTGACTCTACACGCAGGAAGGGTGGTCGACGAGGACGCAGGCTGTAATATGTTAGTTTAAGCTTACTGTGGACTTTGAATAAACAAGTTTATGGTACCTAATTGTTTCATTCTGATTAGCTGAGGTGCAATTATAGAGTGACCTTGAGAGTAGGTAGGGTAGTAGAGGAAAAGTATAAATAAGATCTTACTTTAGTTTTCAACAAAGTACATTCAAAGTTAACTGGTAGGAATATGGTATCAATTCCAATGTTTTGCATTCATTATCATGTTTTAAGTCATCTAAAAGGGATTTTTTTTGCACTGGGATGTCACTATGAACTGGTAACCGGTGGCAAAATCCTCTGCTATGCTGTCCTGGTATGTGTAGGCCTTAGTGTTGTATATGTTTAGTACATTAGCCACCACCACTGTTCTGTGGTAGGCAACTACTAATGCGTTAATGGTCTATCAGCGCCATATATCCGCCAAATAAATGACTTAAGTAAATGTACTCACATTCATAAGTCAGTTAACGAGATGGGCTCCTTTTATACATTTTCACCAACTAAAGTTTTGTCTTGCCTTGGCATAATGGAATCTATTCAACTACGTTTTACTTTCTGTATACATGCGCTACTTTCTCATTGGGAGTCGAATGGTCTTCGTAATTACTCTTCCAGCTCCCCAGAACTGCTTGAGTTCTTGTTTTTGCTTCTTCAGACCCTTTTGCCCGACAATTTGTTAGTGGGAAGTGAGCAAGCGATCGTAGGGCTGGCTGGTTAAAAGTTAAGGTACAAGACATTGGCAACCTTTTAGATTTAAATTTACTGACACCAACTAGAGTTTCATGTTAGGACTTAAAATTATCATGATTGCCTAATGTGTGATTTAATATGGATTTAGTCCTGCAGTCACTATTTTATTTATTTACCCATCATGCACATTTGGTGCATTGGCGGACTTAATGCCTAAGGCATTCTTTACCAGTCAACCATTGGGTGGTGCAGAAAATACAGAAAGTACTTGCATTTTGGTTACAGTTTATTTAAAAAATATGAGCGAGTTTATTCTGCCAGTTGTTCCATGCGATACTGCTTCACTTTTAATTTAAACGAAAAAGTGGTGGCCATCCTGATTTCGAGCGGAAGCGCATTCTAAAGAAGAACGGACTGAACGAAAAAGGATAAGCCAACGAACTCAGACGTGTGGAGGGGACAACGAAGAACAACATTATTGGAGGACCGAAGGCTTCTGTCGTGAGTCGTGACTACATAAGAGTTCGAAGTAGGAAGCTAGATACGTTGGCGAAGATGGTTATTAAGAATGGTGAATAAGACAGTGAGAGCACGTAATTTACGACGTAGACGAATGGGTAACCAGTTAAGCTGCGAACAGAAAGTGGACACATTATCATATTTACGGAGGTCAAAGATGTATCGAATCCAGTTATTAAGAAGACGGTCCAACTTATCGATCTGCATTCAGGTCAAACAGCACACGTCACCATAGTCGATTATTGGGAAGATGCAAGTGTTTGCACAAGCATGATTTTGGTTTTTGAGGGTAGAAAAAATTAAGACGATATAGTGCTCGAAGAGTAGGTACCAGTAGTAGTATTATGGCGTCTGTTGCGATAGTCTTTTATCGACAAATTGAGAATAAGTATTAAGAGCAATGTGGATGGGGCATGCACCAGCCAGTAAATCAAAACTAGACGTTCCAAGCAAAAGCTTACATAGAACCACGTACTAACATTTTCGTACTCGCGTATTATACATCATTTCCATGTTGTACAACGAAATAATGTAGAAGTTTGAAGAAGTAATACTGCTATGCTATGCTACGTATTCTAAGGAAAAACATTATTTACAAAACTTAAATAATAATGTAAAAAACGCGTGAAAATAAAAAAGCAATATTGTTGTGTTCTAAGGAAAAATATTTCCAAAACTCTTCTAAATAATAATGTCCAAAAAAGGCTTTATGTAATTTAAGAGAGAAAATAAAGAGGCAATATTGCTACATTCCAAGTGAATAATAATGTCAAAAATATATATGATTTACACACTAAATAAAATGTTATACGCCATTATAATTTAATTACGAGAGCATGTAATAAACTACATAACTGACTAGAATAGGGCTGTAAATGGGTAATGTTAAGATGTATATTGTGTTATGATCCCGCAAATCGGAGAGCATTATTATTCTTCCGCTGTTTCTGTTGTACTAATGGTGTGCCAGCTGCCAAATCAATCTGATCAATGGAAATAAAAACCATTGGCTAGACTGGTGTCGCCAACAATCTGACCAACGTAAAACACTGAACATTACTTTGGTACTGTACATCAAAGACGGCTACTACTAATTAATAGAGTAATTGAAAGAAAACAAATAATTGTGAGAACATTGTATGTTATTTAACCATATATTAACATTTCAGATAAATAAATAATTACTGTTTTAAAATATACACACTATGCATTTCTATCGTAAATATCTAATTATAAAACTTATAATTTCGAAATATGTTAAGTATCTAAAACGTTATGTATATAAAACCACGGTAGTATTTAAATTATACAATTATTGCACTAAATTGGTGTAGCGGTTCAGCCCGCAAGGAGCTTGTGCTCGCTTATACTTTTTTGTAAAGTATAATATTTTCAATAATACATACAATACTAAAAGTTCTCCAATGTTCAACAGCTGTTTTTACATCACACAAACACTTTATTTTATTTTTATTTCTGTTTCCATTTTTAGAGGTTTTTTAAAGCTAAAAAATGTTAAGCTAAACATGTTATGTACATGCGGCTTACGATGTTATGGACACAGAAATACTTGTGATTGAGACGATATGAGCACTCTTGAAATCAGCTCCCTGCTAAATTTAAAATGAGATCAATAGTACATAACATTATCATCACAATTCAAAACTATCGCTCCATGAGCACAACTCCAAGATAAATGAACTTTACAATACACTACAGAACGACATTTTTTGTCCTAATAAAACTTTATCGGTTAGTCATAAATAAAAATTTCTTGCTCAAAATGTAGAACGTAAAACAAATCAAATTTTATACATTAAAACATTTACAAATAAAAAAAATATGATATAATAGGTACTTAAGAATTTAGGCGTTTCAGTCCAAATAAATCACGGATTAGTAGTTTAATTCGGCAACATTTTTAGAGTTACGACATTAGCTCACATAGTTATATTTTCTGATGCCATTAAAATATTTCTAAGAATAAATTATAAGTAAAAGATTATTGTTACAACAACCATTAAAACTTCTACGACTGCCAAGTTGTTATCGATATGGATTCTAGGAACACCGAGAAGAAAATTACCTAAGTAACCAAATATAAAGTAACATTAATTGAGAAAAGACAAAGACCACGGTTTTAATGGCATAAGTTATAAGCCATCCCAGATATAATTTAATATATTTTGCTATTGCTGACAACTATATTATGTTGACAGTGAACGAGGCGAACATGTTAACAAGTGCCGCTTTTGGGAAATGTCTGCCTACGAATGTACTCGCGACCCAATTTAACCACCATCAGAGCTACCTGATAGAAAAAAGTTAGTAACAAATGAAGTACTTTCATGTACCTACAGTTTTTGTATATTATGTAAATGCTCGTTATGCAAGTTCATGTTTACCTACAGGCATTTGTTTGATTGTATTTGGAATATTATATTATAATGAATTAACTAAAATTACTGTTCCAAGAATTGGAAAATGGAACCAGATCTTGAAATTATTTTTTCTGAATCCGGATAAGTTCCGATGTGAGGGAGAAGGCCCGTAAGCGATGGCGGTACATCAACGCCGCGGATCGGGCGCAGCGCGGGCCCGCAGCTTACGCTACATGCCCGTCTTCAGCCGAATTTTTTTGAGGTGCGACGTAGCAGAGCTAGGTAGTGGCCGGCGTTTTGCCCCTAAAGCTTCGTGGTGGCCGGAGCTCTGTGAACCCAAAATAGTGCCACCAGCCACGTCCTCCCAGTTTCCTCCTACCATATCATCGGATGATGATGACGCCATTGCCCGGCAGCGGTTACTACTCACGCGGGCGGATGAAGCGCGAAGTGACCGTGAGAAGTTCCGTTTGTTAAGCTTTGTGGATACTAGCGACGTGCGGGGGCTTTCTGAGTCGTCTACGGATCGTCTGCTAACTTTCGCCTTGACTACCCCCCCACCTACTGTGGTCTTACTCGAATTGGGTTTTCGTATTGCTAAAATATTCCTTCGCTTGGTAGTCAAAGATTTTGGCTTAGGCTCATTTTCACTAAGATATTTCGTGCGCGAAGTCGTCTTGACTGGTTCATTCTTTTTCGCATACTTCATGTTCATGATGTCATGACCGGATCGCTGCGCAAGTACTGGTGGACTACGTTTGCGCTCTGCGTCGTTCTTTGCGCCAACGTACGTGTTCTCTTTGCGTTCCTCTGTGACCTTGCCCTTGGAGCGAGCGTATAGAGGTACTCTGCTAGGTGATGATGTTTTAGGACGCAAGCGAGACATTGTCAGCTGGAAAGGACATGCTAGATTATAAACTTGTTGTAACTTTGGTGCTACTATTTCTATACAAACGTACATAAACAGTTTCATTTCAACGTGTAGTTTTTAAATATTTTTATTTTTTAAACCTGCTAAACTGCAACAAGTATAATAAACCTAAATTCTATGAAACCTGTACGCTGTTTAGAAATTAAAACGCAAAAACTTCAGAGACTTGAAAACTTCTAATCAGTTTTTGGAAGCACAAACCAATTTAATATTTTTAATATTTCTTAAATAGTAAATGTTTTTAAGAATCCGAATTCGTATTTTCATTAGATATAGACGAGGCTATGCATTTTTTTCGATTCCAACAATGTTGCTTATGTTATTTGACAAATATTTTATTTATAAATTTTAGTCCTAGATTTATCAAAGAAAAAAATGGGGCTAATATTTTTATAAAAAGCAACAATGTTTTTTGGTTAAATAAATATAACTGATTGTACATATTCTTTGATATTGATATTGATTTGATTCCGTATGCTTGCAGTGCGTTTTTCTTGAGTTATTAAATAAAAATACGCAATGCACGCATACGGATATCTCTGAGAGAGAGAGAGAGAGAGAGAGAGAGAAAGAGAGTAATAAGTATAAATAGCGGCTAACTGTCGGCAACGTACGCTTTTTCTCGTAAAGTCCCATAAAGAAATTAGTTCCAAAAATTTTGAATACCAAAGAAGATGGATGACTAAAACGTGAGCTTTGAACCATCATCTGCCTCATCATCATTGTTATATTCTTTTATCAAACCTATTTATAACGCCTATTATTTTATAAGCTTTTGCTTCCAAAAACTGTTAAAAGTAAAAAGAGTATTTAAGCTACGAGATAAAACAATTGTAACTATAAACACTCCCCTTATCTTTAGTACGATACATTCTAGTGTGAAGTATATTATGATGAGTGATCGAACGAAACAACACACCCAAACCCACTCCCACAATCATATTCTTACCACGATTTTAAAAGCTGTTCTGTGTTATTTAGTAGTGTAACACTGAAAATTAAATATGGTGTGTTACCAATAGAAAAAAAAATAGCATTAGAGAAACAATTCAATAGACAAATAAAACAGATTTTATTCTAAATGAATTACATTTAAAATAACTTAAAAATATTTCACAGTCTAATTCAGGGTTAAAGGAAAGGCGGTAATGATAACGTAGTGAGTCAACAGATCATTTTATATGAATGTAATTAAAAATAAGTAATGAGAATATGAATAAATAACCAATTTCGTCAAAAATATACAATATTATTAATCAAACAATATTTAAATGTTTCATTTTTTTTATTCAAATCAGTCCTTGCGCGTTTCTTCATCACATTAGCTCATTATAAATCCTTAGTTTTACATTTTCAAGATGAATTGTATCATAGTAAGAAATATTCATAGAAAGAATTTGTAATCATTTTCGGTAGGCCGTACGAATATTAACCTGTTGTTTCCGATTTAACAAAGTTTAACATATCACAGTTAGGTTGTGTTAAAAGCGTTGTTAGGTTTATACAAAATAAAATGTTTTGTGAAGTTTATTATAGCAATTTACAGTTATATAAAATATCAGCAATGATGAATCTTGCGAATATTATTCAATGACCCTTTCGTTTAAAATTGTTATACCATTTTTCACACACTATGTTGTTTGTCCACGACAATAAATGTATAAATAAAAATCTGTTTCAATTGGAATGTAATTTTTTAAAAATTAAACAATGATTTTTCATTTTCCTTTCCTCTACTACTACTTGATAGTAAACAATTGTTTATTTTTGTGCCTGAAATCGATAATTTCTACAATATAAATTTTGTAGTTATGATTACTCAATTGATATTTTTAGTTCGATTTCATCATCACCACATACCAGTACCAACCGGCACTGAACTCTTGGAACGTGAAAAATGATATAAACAAACCTATAAATAGTGTATTGGGTGAATTTTGTTACACTAAATGTACACAAAAAACAAATTTTTAATTACCTGCGGTCTCATAGTCCTAGTATGTGCTCGAAGCCAATCACGAACCGCTGATAAGTTTCGATGCTCGGAGCATGGGATGCGTGAATTTGGATGTTGCCCCGTAAGGTCGAGTATTGATGCACCCAGTGACCGACCAACCTGTAGGTATTATTGACTTGGTCACGTATTAAAGTTTATTACAAATGGAAATATAACTAGACAACTATACAGTTATTCGTGTTTGGTATGTCTAACTAACGCAAGAAATGACAGCGTAATGTCATCGGGCTTCACCTGAACACAGCGTGGTTTCAGTCAGTTCCTTTATGAAATGGTAATCAGCCCGTTTTTCATGTAGCATACTAAATTCGGTCGTTCGACTAAATTATAGTCGTCAACTCGTAAAGTGATGTTTTTATCTAAAATGTATATGATTATGTATATACAGACAAATTAATGATTTTTTTGGCTACTGTTTGTGGATGGTTGATATGTGTGCTTATATAAAGGCATCAATCAATATCTGGAGATTTTTGAAGAGATTTATACAAATTACAAAGCATGGTTTAAGAAGCATTTTTTTAACTAAGTAACTAACTACGATTCTAGTGTTTGCAATTCACAAATACTAAAAAAAAAACTCTCCACAGTGTATAGAATATGTTTGTGTGCGTAAATTGTATCAAAACAATCGTCATTTGCAAGAACCATACTACTTTATAGGTTCTGTATGACTACCACAGAATGTATAAAATATAATGAAGAAGAAGGAAAGGACGTAGAAAATACTTATTTTATACTCTAAAATTTTTAGTTCAAGCAATGTATCAATTATGGTTTGAATTTTAAAGGACATCATTCAAAATGTACCCAAAAATTAAAGTGCCGGCCAGTAAAAAAAACTGATCTTTTAAACATTTTTTATTATTACAACAAACGTCTACGACCAACTTTTAGACCCAAAATGGATCTCCGAAAATCATAAATTGAGAATTTACAATTATGTATCAATTAACTATTTCTGATTAATTAAAAACCTAAACAATGAAACCTAATGAAACTGACAACGGCGATGGTGTTTTTAATTGGGTTTTTAGACAAGGTGATGTATTTATTTTATATCGCGGCTTCAGAGATGCCATATCACCAATGGAGTCACTGGGATATTCTGCACATATGCCTGAAGCCAAGCTCCGAAATGAAACCCAGCTGACAACGATGCAAGCAAATAAAACTCGCCTTGTAACTATCTGTCAGTGGGTTGTGGAGGTAGTTAATGGGCGTTTCAAACGGGCTTTTAGATTTTTGAGACATGTCAATATAAATCGTGCTCTTCCTCACATGATTGATTGTTTTAAGATAGCGGCTGCTATAATTAATGCATACCATATACTAATAAATGACAATATTCATGCCCAAGCCTTTTTGGCCATAATAAACCATAGAATGTCAATCCCTAACACGCTGGTTGATATAGTTGTAAGGCATAATGGACGACTGGATGGCGTAGTGGTTTGTGTAACGGACTGCTATTCCAAAGGTCGCGGGTTCGATTCCCGCTCAAGTCAAACATTTGTGTGCATGAACATTTGATGTTTCATTTGGTCTGGGTGTTTCTATGTATAATATGTGTTTATATCAGTTGTCTAGTACCCATAGTACAAGCTCTGCTTAGTTTGGGACTAGATAGATAATTATAATAGAAGACGAGCACAATTTCAGCCGATGTCCGCCGATATGCCCGAGTTCGATGATTTTCCAAGGCTCTCGGTAGAGGATTTAATATTATTTAGTTTGGGTATTTATCAAATAAAACAAGCTAAAAGCTATTACGGCGAGCACATCAATCGAAATGGTGTTTTTAAGGTCGAGCTTGGCGACAGACTTTTAACAGAACACGTCAGAGAATTGGGAGAAAACATAAGAATTATAAGAGGAAGAGTACAATCTCGGCATGTTCGGGCCAGAGTATATTATGTTTACATTGGCATCGACACATCATTGAGTGGCCGTGATGCCATACCGTATTATTATTACTCATGCAATGTTGGCAAAAGAACGGTGGGCTGCTGTTCCCACACTATGTGCATAGTGTGGTACATGACGTTCGCGAGGCACCAACAACCTCCTATAAATCCACCTGCATTAGGTTTAGCGTGAGACCTGCGGAATTATAACATATGAATAAAGCCACGTAGGTAACGAAATGAAGTCTTTTTCTTTACATATATTTTATAACACTAATACCTACACATAAATACCTACGTAGGTACTTAGGTACCTAATGATAATTGTATATAATTAGGCTTTTTGTCATATTACATTATTATTAAGCGAGATTAAGTTATTCTTTATCATCATTATTTGTTTTTTGCTATAGTAATGAAGTAAAAATTGTTCAGACGAACTCGTATAAATGCATTTTTTTTATTATTTCTAAGTCATATAACTCATAAGTAATCGGTCTTAGCTCTTAGCCGTCTAAAGAAAAAAATCTTAGAATGTCATTCTCTAACCGATAAAACATTTTTTTTGTTGGCCGGCACTTTTTTTTTTGGGTTCTTTTTGTATGGAGCGTGAATGATGTCCTTTAACCGCGTAGTTTAATTTTATTATGGATGTAAATAATAAAAGCAGCAATATTATATGCTATATATAAAGTATGCTGGGCCACAATATAATCAAACCTCCTAAAAAATATTTATAATTATAAATAGCAATTTACATACAATGAGGCTCTCGCTATAAATCGATTCAATAATCGATTTATAGCGAGAGCCTCGTATTTGTGTTATATAAGAATATGCACATGACTGTAACCCAGTAAGCAGCTACATCCATTTTATATTACAAAAGATGTAATACACAGAACAGTACTAGATATACATATATATTTTTATATATATAATATAAATATTTTATATGTGTGTATATGTGAGCATATAGTTTACAGACAAACCTCATAGGGGTCTATCTCTTTATAAACCTCCAGATTTTCAAACCTTGGGCGGTAGTGTCTTACCTGAAATGTTTTTACCACTATCTAAAGTTTTCTGCTTATAATGAAAACCCTTTTACTACAACGATCCTACGTTAAATACGATTGGAAGTAGCTACAGTACTTAATATCAATAGCTGACACCGAGAGAGTGCTTCACTACTTAAATAATAAATAACTCCTTTAAACTAAATATAAAGCGCTTTTATTTATTCTTATTTAAGGACTTATATAAATTATTCGTCCATAGTAGGTAATATTTGTATCTTTTACGACCTTTACAAAGACTTATCTGAGAATTTGACAGATGATTTAAAAAATTATGTTCCAATAAAAATCTATTATTTTTATGTTCTGCAGAAGATACTCCACGATTGACACCGTCGGCGCTGCTAGTCCGTTTTCGAGCGCTATTGTTAATTGTCAAATTTGCAGTTTTGAAATATAAAGTTTGCTTTGTTAGACATGACAACGAAAAAAATAGCTATATATAATTTATATCTATATATAATATAAAAAATATTTTAGAAAGCACTCGTTTATTTTATAATTTTACTATTCCAATTTTGTTCATTTTGGATTTTGGAAACAATTTCTCAGTGTCCTATGTTTGTAAATTACCTATGCTACGAGTGAACATTCGCTTAGCTCACAAACCTGGAACGGGTTTACCTCTTCAAATATATGCGGCGTGTACTTCGGAGGTGGGGGAGCAGAGTTCAATAGCGCAGATGCTGGGCCCTCCCTAACGGTAGGGGGAAGGACGTTGACGAGGCGTCCAGTGTTGTAGTTACATTCTAAAGTGTACGACCGTACCAGGCCGGTGGCCTTAAACACGGCTACACGGCCTGAGCCCTCTCGGGACATGCCGTCACGACGGTCTCTGGAAAAAAACTTAAAATAAATACAAATTCAAAAGTATGCGGGTTAAAAGGACCTAGCTGAGTGGTAAATGAACCTTCCATTCAACAAAATATTTTTAATTAGAACGATTTGATAGTAGAGTAAGTAGAAAATAATGAGATACGGTTTTTCATACAACGATATTAGATAACCAGATGCATTAGCTTTAATTCTTAACTTCATTTTATAGTAAAAAGGGATTTGAAACTTAAAACAAATTCAGGTAATAAAATATGTGACTAACTTGAGATACATGTTCCTCTCAGTAAAGTTACACGAAGAAAAGTGAAAGTGCATGTTGTTGAGTGACATGATTCGAGGCAACAACATGCATTCGACGCAGCTCTCTAGATCTTCGAAGTGATTCCCGTACATGAAGATACCTGGAAAGACAACAGCCATTTGTGTCAGATAAGGTAAAAGCTGTCCTAAGCAGGACGAAAATGTTGCTGTGTTTACAGAATAAAAAAAGAGATTAAGTCGTTTTGACCGACTCTAGACAGAGCAGGCAAATTTGAACTGTAATGTATAAAGTTAACATAAGCCTTTCATAATAATATAATAGCTCATAACAAAAATAGGTCTGGATAAAAATTAACTACTGTTAAACTATCTATTTTTATAAAGAATGGCCGAGAGTTAGTTTGAAATGCTTATATCAAAACATATGACATACTTTGATAAATTACAAAAACTAAGTATTGGAAAAAGTACCTGACAGTACGTAATAACATTTTAAGTGAGATGAATGGATTTATGAATATTTGGCATAAGATTAAAATGGACAATATCTGAAACTAGTGGGCTTTGTGTACCTTTCTTAGAAGCGTGTCCATGAAGATCTATATACAGATATAGTCCCGATTCTGGTTCCTTGGGAGTACAAGGAAACTTGTTGAGCGAAGTGTGGTGGGTTGGGTTTGTCGATGTCGTGTTTTTCTTCCTGGTCGGCCTTTCAGGACGAGGAATAGTCGCAGATTTCGGTTTCACGGGCTTAGGTTTAGGTGGTGGCTAGAAGTAATTAAATTATTTTAAGTCTTATCTATTCGTAGCTAGGGGATGGATAGTTGAATTATACGTTGGCATTGATTTATGTTTTCTAAATAAGTAGATTGCAAAAAAAGTTGCAATCATTTGTACCTAACGCTACTATCATGATAGGAATAAAATATATGAAGATAGGGACGAATATACACAGGTTTTACAGGAATCTTACACAGACCAAAAGAGTACCTTAATTTACTTCTAAAGAAATTCGTTTTTAGACGGTTGCCTTCGAAATCGTCTGAATATAGGATTCGGAGAAGTGTGTGTTACTACTCAGCATTACTATTTGTGTTGTTTGCAACATTTCATTAAAAAATATCAAAGTAGTAGTAGTAGCGTGTAACATGTACAATATGTCGGAGCTACGCACCGTGGGCAGGATCATGTCGCCCGTGCTGCCCCCGAACATGGACTGCGCGTCGGGCTCGGCGCGCACGTCGCCGTGTTCGCCCGCCGACACCGCCACGGACGTCGTTGACGTCGTTTCACAGAAATTCTGTGTTACGAAAGAAAAGAAAGAAAAGTACAAAACCAAGTTTTGTGCCATCGGTACCAGCACTAACAACTTCAGAAAAATATTACAACACAGAATTTTTGAATACGTATTTATTTCTCTATTGAATCTAGATAGGGATGCACAAGTACCGGCGCCTTATAGCTATAAAGTCAGACTTAAAAAAAAAGTAAAACTATCTGAAAAATTTACTTGCAGGATTTACTTAAAGGAATAAATATAATTTCATTTCAGTAGCCTTTGCATGAAATATTCACTTCCGGAGGTTAAAAATATCTGATTTTAGAAATAATTTTAAAATACAAAAAAAAATTGTATTTTAAACCTTTATACTAACATTTATTCTGTAGTTGTAGGTCCAAAAAGAGTTTCTGTGTGTCAACGAAAATTTTGCAAGGAATTACTTAGTTTTTTAGAAAGATATAGTATACGTACGATTTCCTCATTGGATGGTGTTAAAATATATTTCTTGAAACAGTTGGTACAGAAGAACAACGTGTCCTCTTCCGGGGGCCCTTGGTTTATGACCTATAAAAACCACGTAATCTTAGTTGTTAGACATACGTTGACATTCTATTCTTTTATTAAAAGTCCAAATCCGCTGCGAACTTCAGTAGCAGAGGGTGTCGAACTAAAACTATATTTTGAAATACACGCTAATGAATGAATGTCATCCGTGTGATGACGTCTAAAGTTACGTTGAATTAAAAATCTCAATTTAGGTTACCGAATTTAATCGGCGACAGTTAGTTCGATTCGCAGGTATGTAATCGCTTCACTGTAGCACATTGCGGTTGCATGAACAATGCAGATAACATCAATTTTTGCAGCGAGTAGTATATCATGTCAGTTTGAGCTCAATAGGTGCAGAACTTTTGTCAGTTTTTAAACCAACTTAACATTTTAATATATATAAAATTTTAATACTTCAGGACACTGTTATAAGCATAAAAACATAATAGTTTTTAAAATTACCCACATTTTGTACTTTCACAGTGAAGTATACTCTGTTCATTAGGTTTTTTTCTATTTGACACTTCAATGGCATGGATGACTTACTATACATTAGAATTAAATATTAATATTACAAAATAACGATCTTAGTGTGTATCATCTTTCAATTGTTAGGCTAAGTTACTTTAAAACTTAACTTACAAACTTACTTTAAATTCATAACTTTAGAAGAAAGAAATTCTGTGCTGATTTAGTGTTGGTATGTACACACGGCAAACGAACTACCTGGTCAGTAGTACGAAGTACCTGTGATTTTAATGAACTATTCACTCTTAGGTTTGCTGGAAGAGAACTTAAGTATGGGTTAAGCTCGCTTTTGTGCATAGTGGGCAATGCCTTAATGTTTTTTTTTTTAATAAATTTATTGTATACGTAAGAATAAATAAATAAAATCTTACTAGAGAAATTGAATAACGCTGAACGATTTTGAAAAAATTATAATAATTAATAAATTATTTTGTAAATTTTAGAGTCAAAAAACGAGTTATTTAGGTACAATTCTGAGCCTCTTATGTAAACGTATAATAATAATACTATACTTACAGGAAAAAAACACACATGTATACCTGACCGATGATAAGTGAGTAAACAATATCTACATACATGATATTGCGTTAAAGTATAATATTTACTTCTTGTTCCTTTCGTTCTTTTTCATCAAGCTGTTGTTTCTGATGCTCTCTGTACTCCTCAATGGAGTGATACGTGAGGGTGTCGGCTCGACTCTGGGCGTGAAAGAAGTTCTTATCAGGATAGGATGAAAGATAAATGTCATGGTATAGTTAATTACGGTTCAGGAAATACTAGCATACGTTGTGATTGGTGTAATGGCACAATAAATAATAGATACTTATGTATTAAATGGTATGTATTAAAACGTTCTCTAAACATATGTGTATTAATAAATGTACACCCTCAAACAGCATGTTTAGAATATTTTGTAATAGTTTTAATACACAAGGTGCATTAAGCACTCAAACAAACATTTTAATAATTTATCACTTATAAATGTTCGACATTGTTTATGTGATTTCTCAAGGATCAGAAGAACAACATTAACTAAAAAAAAAGTTAAATATTAAATTCAGCACACATACCATTGCTATATTGTATCCTGGCACCATATTTGTGATGCCTGGCATTGCGTCTTCAAGTTTCGATACCGCTTGCCTGCATTCTGAACACCAACCCATCTTCATCTTTGATTGTCGAACATCATTGGCGCCTAACAAACCATCGCTGGAACAATATGTAAGCAATTATCATAGAGATTAGTTATGTTTATTCACATTGTGACATGGTCTTTTTAGGATGTCAGGCTGAATGTGCAGAAATTAAGGAAGACACTTTTGTCCTGATTTGAAAATTATTTTGATGCTATTTGTTAAGGTGGCAGTGCCAATCAATATTTGTTTGAGTGTCTCCATATGGCTCAACAGATGGCTCTGTCGTCGAATTAGATGTTGATATTATTTGTTACCGACACGCGTATTTAAGGGAACTTTTGTTTTTTAAATAAACGGATCTTAGGCTACCTTGGTGTCTTATTTGGAAGTGGCTCCTGTCGAAACTGTTGGAAATCCCTAAGTAGTTTATGGAACATGGTCCTTTAAGCCGGATTTTTGGGTCTCGCTTAAGTCCTTAAACCTAGTCCATCCAGAGCTACAAGGCGGCTCATCCGAGATCAAGTGGCGGCGGATTATCGTCGAGAATCTCGAAGCACCTGGTAATTACGGAACACCGGGACAGCGACAATCACGACGTCCACGAGCGAGCATCAGCATGGCAGTACATCAGCATCTCCGGTTGGACAGTGAATAAGTGATAGTGTTGTACAAGGTGATATAAAAAGGAAATAAATTGTAAGTACTTTAACAGATATTTTTTAGAATAGGGACTTAGAAAATTATAAAGTGATTGAATCTTGTGTTGTTAACATAGAAAATTTAGTACATGGCTTGGACTTGTAAAATTTTACTTATGACTTAAAATAGTGTGACAAAAGGTGAACCGACGGGGAACCTATGCCCGATTTTACTGCAAATTTGCAAGTCAAAAACACAAATATTTTCTCATTTTGTATCAACTTGTAAATTGTAACTTGTAAACTCAATACAATGGAACTTATAAAAATCCAAGAAAGCAAAGGTGAATTTCAAGAAGAGTCCAAAAGACAAGTTGTAAATTTTACATAGAGAACAGGATAGAAATTATAAATAATAAATGGCAAGAATTCACACAAAATTACAACGAAATTTTAAAAAGAAAGGAGACCGAAGGAAGTAGTTATTTTGTAAAGGATGTGCATAGTGAAGTGGAAGAATTTTACCTAGAATTTAAATCGGAGCTAAGCGAGCATTTAGATAAACTGAAAGATTGTTCCAATAGTCAAACTACAACGACCATTACGTCGTCAGAAAACGGTACAGTAAGGCTACCGAAAATTATAATACCAACCTTTTCTGGAAAAGAACAATGGCGAATTCGTAGTTGAGTTGAGAGTTGACGCTCAAATTATGCGTCTTAAAATGTCATTCATAGGAAACTAATTCTAGTAAATATCTACGTTTTTTAAAACTGTAATTTAAGTTAGTAAAAGCCAAGGAAAATAAATAAAAATATTATAAGCTTATTTGATTGTTTTAATTTCCTTTATCGGTTAAGTGTTACCATTTTACAGCCATGTTTTTCAAGTAGTGGAAATACTGTCCAGTAAAGTATTGTAATATGGTAGTCACTTAATAGTAATATGGTAATCAGATAATAGTTTTATAATTCTAAGTACTGAATCAATAAAGAATATAGCTTGTGGTGCATTATTAAGCGCATTATTCACGAAATTGAAAATCCTGTAGTGGAATATAAGGAAGAAGTGGCAACTGAAAGCTGAGAAAAAGCAAAGGTTTTTGACAACTCTTGACAGATGTTTGCGCTCTGTGTTTAAATATAAAGACTAAACGTCTGAAGCGACAAGCGGCGAATGGCCGCCGCCGATTATATTAGTTTAGGTTTAGAATTTACAATTAATTACATGTTGAAATAGGTAATAAATTAAGGAAATGGAATAAACTTATTGGATATTTAATATGCAGATGTACGTAAGTATAAGATGATTATTCCATCATCAAACACATTAAAAGTGACATAAAAATATAACCTATGAAAGTTCTACAGCTAGAGGACTATAACAAATCTTTATTTTTTATTTTATTTTACTTAAACGACACACATACAGTTATAATTATCAAATAGTTATGTAAAGTCGATAGCCAAAGACAAATTGGTAAAATAAAGCAAACATTATGGCAGCTATGTTTTAAAAGACTTGACTTGACTTGTGGACTCTTTTAAAGAGAGTGCACAGATAAAAAACTGATAAAATGAAATGCTGATATATTTTTTCCTACCCTTTTCCAAACAAAAATTGTTTTACACATAGATTCTAAAAAAACAGCATTTTTTTAAATATTTTGTTCACTACAAGACGGTGCAATTTGATTCCAAATATTTTTATGTATGCTACCCTCAGTCCTGCCTAAGAATCGAAACACATCCCTGCAACAGTTTTGATTAAAAGCGATTCTTAAGACCGGAAGTGCTTATAGTCGGACGGCTTCTCTTTGGCTCTTCTTTTAATTTTTGGTACCATATACCATTATGGCAAATATTTTTGTGACTGGCCTGTTGGCCGAGTGGTTAGTGATCCTGACTGCTAGCCAAATAGTTGTGTGATATGATGTGATAATTTTTCTATAATTTGTATGAATTTACTCATTATTCGAGTATCAGCAGTCTGGTTACCATAGCAGTCTCTGCCTAGTTTGGGATCAGACTCCCGTGTGTGAGATGTGTGAAATTTTTCTGAAGCAAACTGAAGGAAGCGCCCTAAATACGCTTATACTACTCTATATTTCATAATACATTTAAACATACCCAGCTACTGAAGAATGAGACTCCATGAGCAAACTTATACTGTTCTTCAGGGTGTCCCTCAACGGCCGGAGGGGGTTCGACCCTTGCAAGTTAAGTTCTTCACTCGTGCTCAAATGAACTTCGGAACCCAAACATGCTCGTAGCATGCTGTCATTAAGTAATGACGGGGTGTTTGATTCCTCGGTATTGTCATTTGATTTTGATGAAACTTCGCTTGCTTGTGATTCCATTTCTTGTAATTTCATGTCGCATACCTGCCAACGGAGAAAATCATTTTTTTTTTCATGATTTTGGTCTTATTCAAAACTTTGGACAGAATACGTAAAAGATTAAATATGTCATGAAATTTGGCAAAAATCAAGTTATTACAGCAAAAATAAAGTCGTTTTGTTGTTATGTCACATAAAAATATTTGTTGGGATTACAAACGAATATCTTTCGAATTGAAACGGTGTCGAAATAAATTCATATTACCACTCAATTTTAGTACCTAGTTACGGTAAACTAGGTCTTAATAATCTCTCATATATCTCAAATGACAAAATGGATTACCGTTACATTATTAATCATTCTAATCATGATAACCGTAAGCTGTACCTATTAAATTACAGTTAGTAATGCATCGATGATTCGGTTTCGTATTATCGATAAGATATAAAATTGAATGCTTAGTAGGATTCACTGGTTCACTTGACTTTAAATTAAAAATGGGTAATAACGTAATATCCTAAGCGTAAGTAATTAGCTAAGATTGGTATCCATTTCACACAAGAGAAGGAAAACTTGAAAAACCCTATACCAACCAGTCTGGCCAGCGTGGTATAGTAGGCCAAAACCTCCTTTCTAAGGAGAGGCCCATGTCCAGCGGTGGACTATTAAAAGCTGTTGTTGAATGCTTAACAGCTTTAATTACGTTACATAAATACTATAAAAAAATCCTGTTAATTTTACATCGTAAAAAATATTAAAATGCATCTAATATTATGACATGAAATAAAAGCTTCTTTTAGCACGAAACATTGATTTATGTTACGAAACTTGAAGGTTTGTTTACTATTGATTCAGATTAAGTTCGGGTTGTGTTCAGTGCCTATAAATATTCGTTTAATACCATGCCATGTTATTCTTGTGATAAATACTTTAATTTGTGAAATACCGTCATGAACCAATATACTGAACTGAGAATTCACTAAAAGAAAATCTCCAAGTAGCAATTTGAGCGTCCCGTGGATTTAGCCCAAGATCGTCATGTACTGACACAAATGCAACGAGGCAGCAGACCTATCTACTTAACTTCTTTTTAGGTGCCACTCGCAATTAAAGAAGATTAGCAGTTACGTCCTAAATATCCCTAGTCCCTACGACTAAAGAAGTAATTCTTCAGCAACATTTTATGCCGTCCGTTTTATAGTTCATTTTATAGTCCGTGTGGTGACGGATTAAGAATACAAATTGTCATCACCCCAATTCATCCCGTGGGTGTCGAGGGAGCCGACTAAGGGAGCAAACTAAGCAGGACAACAGCACTGCAAAGAGAAGGAAAACTTGAAACAAACCCTATACCAACCTATGGCCAGCGTGGTATAGTAGGCCAAAACCTCCTTTCTAAGGATAGGCCTATGTCCAGCAGTGGACTAGTATAGGCTGTTTATGTGATGATGTGGTGAACATTTTATGTCGGAGAGCAATTTCTTTTATGATGGATGGGTCAGTTCTAAGTTCCGACATAACCATCCCACAGGTGGGTGGTATCAGAGGGGATTTCCGCACAGAAAAAAAAGGTTCAGCTTAAATAGAATACAAAAGCAACATTGTTTAAATTCTTCATTATTATAAATGAGCGAACGCTCACGCAACAAACACATTAATATCACTTTGATGGGGTACCGATGAAATAAAGTTGCCCTAAATGTGGAAACCGTTCGAGTTTATGCACATAAACTGACTTTTTGACAAACTTTTTGGAACTTTGCATATTATAGAGTTTAGGTGTGGCGTTAAACGATTAACCTAGTTAGAAACTAGGATAAATGCTTGTATTTACGGCAATATCCATAGAAAATTCACGCAAAACCATCACTGATTCGGGGATATTTAATAAGACTACTATTGCTACTAATTTAAGAAGACTATCTGCTGTATTTTACATTCTATATCAGTCATTCAGTCAACTAGCAGACATACACAATAAAGACTTAGATAAAAGATTCTGTAAGAATATTTGATTTTTGGGAATTTGTTCTAGTAACATTGACGTAAACAATCGAGGCATACCTACTATTGTTTGTCACCAATTGGTTGGAAATTGGGCCGTTAATTTCAGAATATTCAAAATAACGTTCTAGTAGACACTAATATGATACTAAACTGTTCTCTGATCGTTTTTGAAATGAATATTAATGGTAATGACACGGATGCATTCATATATACCTTCGTAGGTATTAGGTAGGTAGGTACTCGTACATGGTAATTGGTAAGAAAAAACCAGACAAGGGTCAATTTGACTTGTGTTTCGAGGGTTTCGTAATCAAACAAATTCGTATAATTTTATTGTAATGTATGTAAGTAAAAGATCCTCTAAGACATAAAATTTTCCAATTGCAAATTTTGTTTTTCATGGTAAACAAAATGGACTCAACACCAAATAAACAACTACATTTGCACTGTAAGATTGCTTCTTGTCAAATTTGAGGCCAATGAGAAGTGTTAGAGGGGTTTTAATCACAGACCAGTTACAAGAGGTCCTTTTTTAACTGTTCTGTGATTTTGATCCACACTTGAACAACGGCAACGCAGATATAATATTCCAATTTGTAAACTTGTGGGTGCCATCATTTTAACAAATAATGCCTAGTTGTACATAATTACTTTAGTGAGCTCGAACTGGCTAACCGTCGGAAGTCAGAGGGTTAGCCAGTTCAAGATACTAGTATGCGTCCTTGACCTGTTCGAGCAGTTGCTTGCGATCCCGAACCATCAGTTCATAGTCGTATTCAGTTCCTTACATTGCCTTCCTCTCTTACATAGCTTTTTCTTTTAATATACTTACTCTCAATATTTTAAATAAAGATTATCATATTGAGAGTAAGTATATTACAAATAGTACACTAAAAACGTTATACTGACGGCTATATTATATAAGTAAAATTATGGTTTGAATAATGTACAGTATAGGCGCCCTTGGCGGTTTTTTTTAACGTCATAATGTACCTGACTAACGCCGCCCCTAGACATCTGCAACTCAATATGCACAAGTGCGTAGTCATCTTTTGAGTGGTCCCCCTGCTTTTGATAGGACGTTGGGATTATGAAAGAATTACATCACTCCAGTCAGGCCGGCCCATACGTGCCGAAGTATGGCTTTCCTACGAATTAATACTTCTACTCTACATTGGTGGGTGTATGCATGATGAAGATAACTCTTACAAACCTGTGCAGCCAAAATAGCAGCTTCACCACTAACGGGTTTCGTGTCCTTTTTGACACTGTCTGAGCAAGACGACGGTGGTTTTATCGTGGTCGAGGATTTAGTAACTGTTGTCTTCGGCGCCGTCTTCTCACGTCGCCCCATTATTTCGGTGTTTTTGTATGGGGACGCATAGACTTCCTTTTTTTTCTTTGGCTCAATAGTCTGTTGATAAAAATTAAGTGATTTTTAGTAATTGGTAAAAGTTAAGAATTTAAATTGTTGCAGTTTTTTCCATAGAGTCATTCGGTATCTAAATGTAGGTAAATATATCACAAGGTTTGTGCTTGATTCTAACAACTTTTTTAATCGAAAAATATTTTTGAGGCATTAAGTATGAAATATAGGTCTTCCGAACGTTCGTTTTTGCTTTGTATTATTCGGGAACTTAAATTACTTATAATAAGATGATTTTTTTGTTGTTTGTTCAACTGAGTCAATTACATTTAATATTGGTGCACACTCATGTATACCGACAGAATATTCGCCAAGTTGACGTCGCAGTAAAACCAAGTTGCGTACTGTAGCGATATTACTAGAAGACTGTGTGTGTTTCGGAGACTCACTTGTTGGGCACTGATTTTAATAATAATTCGCACAGGTGGTTCGATGTTGTTTGTCAAAGACTGCTGAACAACTCTCTACCAATTTATGAATTATCTTTCAAAAAATGGATCCTATAATCTTTCAAACTTCAAACTCAAACTCTCTGGTGGTCACATCTGCAACCAGCTTTGGTCAATCGGTCGTCCCCACTGCTCCTTCACGACAACGCGCGACCCAGCTGCAAGAGATGGGGTTGGAAGCTCTCCCTCATCCGCCATACTCACCAGACCTTGCACCTACCGACTATTACTTTTTCCAAAATTTAGACAACTTTTTAGTGGGTAAAAAATTCAATTCCCGAGAGGCAGTACAAAATGCCTTTGAAGAGTTTGTTGCCTCCCGTCCAACAGATTTTTACAAGAAGGGCATCAATAAACTGCCAATGCGTTGGCAAAGATGCGTCGATTGCATGGGTGATTACTTCGAATAACAGAAATAAACAAGTTTGAAAAAATAAGTACTTTCACTTATTGCATACAAAACGGCAATTTCATAGGTAAAGACCTAATATTAGCTTCACTTGTATGTTTGTTTGTATGTTTGTAACCGACTCCTTTGGGCGTGATTTTGATTGACTTTAAACGGTCAGAATTCGTTCAAACTTTGTAGACATATGGAGGACCGATGACAATACACTAATTTAAAAAAAACAAATAGTTTTTAAACAAATAAAAAACACACTTTCTATAGAAAACCAAACTAAAAAATAGAAAATAAATTTGAATTTTCTATAGAAAGCGTGTTTTTTAGTTTTTTAAAACTATAATTTTTTAATATAGAGTTTTAGTAAAGGGATGGGAAGTATAACAAAAATTGCTTTAAGATACCTTGGGATGCAAAATATTTTGATAAGATCCAAGAACATAGGTACTTACCTCAGAGCTTTCACAAATGTTTTGAATACTTCGCGATGTAAAACTCTTGCTTTCTTCGCACATATCTTCTTTTTCATGACCGAAGTGGTAGTATCTAAAAGAGCAAATCAAATGTATGGTAGCAATAATAATGGTAAGTTCAACACCAAACTGAATGAGTCATGAACTCATTCAGTTTGATGTTGAACTTTATTTATGATATTGTAGTGGAACCTCATAAAGCTAGGTTTTCTAAATTTAATTATATTAAAAGTGTAAACTTTCCAAGGAAAGTAGCACCAATATGGTAAAAACTATCGTAAGTGTTGTATTGACTATATTTTATTTGTAACAAAGCCTATTACAATGTAACCCCACCTACACAATGGTACTGTTTTTCCAACAGTAAGTACCATAGCGTGGGTGTAACCTAAACTTTTCTTTCTCGTAATATACATGTAATGTACAATGTATATACTGTAGATACGTACTCTATCGAAATATATTAATTGATTATTGATATAGTAATATATATTCAGAACTTACCTAATTAATGATCTCGACGCATAAACGGTCGGATGTAGAGTAAGCGATGGGTTGAGATAGACTCTGTTCAAATTGACTCCCCTAGTGTCCGTCCTATAATGACCCCTTGCCACACCGTCAGGGTTCAGGAAAGGGATCATTTTAAACACGTATAGCTTCCGTAGTTGTAACGCTATGGGGTCATTTTGTGTCAATAGAAGATTAAGAAACCCGTTGAATACGAAACTTGAGGGGGTCTCGCCTGGATGTACTCGCGCTGATACAAATATTATCTGAAAATGTTTCTATCACATTACCGATTTCGAATTTCAGATAATACACAGTGAATTGATAAATTTAAATATAACATTACAAAGTGTGTCCGCAGCCAAAAGTGTCTTTTTATTACATACTAGTTGTACCCTACCACGCTTCGATGTGACACATTGTGGTAGCATTGATAAGCAACGAGGAACCAAAATGGCGCGAAAAAAAGATAAAAACCATCGTTAAGCGGCGTTGTATATTGTGTAAAATTTAAGCTCAATCTGTGCAGTACTTTTTGAGTTTTTGAAGCGTAGTACACAACCAACATATGTTTTTTATTTATAAATAGTATTTAAAACTAGCACTAGGTATGGCACAACACAAGTGTTGAGATCCCTGGAGCATTGTTGTGAATTTTTACCATCAAAACGTAACGTAACGTAACGTAATAATTGGTAATAATAATTGGTTTTGTAGTTATATTACGATTTAAAATACTTAAGCTCGATCGTGAATTTCATTAACAAAAAAGGATAAAATAAGCGGTCATAAAGAAAGTAGGCACCATTTGCGCATTAGCCAAACAATACACAGAACTTAAATTAATTTAGTTTTGAGTCGCATAACTTTTTAGTGCTTTTACCTTTGAAATCATCATCATAAACAGCCTTTAATAGTACATGCTGGTCATAACCTTCTCCCTAAAAAGGAGGTTGGTATAGGGACTGTGTCAAGTTTTCTTTCTGTTTGCAGTGCCTGTCGTCCTGCATAGTTTGCTCCCTTAGTCGGCTCTGACGACACCCATGGGATGAATACGGGTGGTGACCCCCACACACTGACGGTTAATTGACTTTTGATTCTGCTGGTACGTCAGATTGTTTTTACAGTAATGATGAATTAAAAAACACTAACTTTTTTATTGGCGAATTTGTGTGGTCGCTCCTGGTTGTCGGGAAACAAGTTTTTTAGCCTTTCCTCTCGTTCCGTAGTGAGGCCGTGATGGGAAGTAATTGTTAATAAGTCCACTCGTCTTCCTGTTTAATGACACATTTCATTTCTTTAGATTAGCGCTCTCATACTATGTATACATTATCAGAATAATGGACTGTTTGAAAAATATTGAAATGGTATATTAAACGTTTAATACCTACCTACATTTACCGGCTTGGCATAAAATTGTCTACCGTGCCGGTTTCGGACCTCAAAATACTTAGCTCACAGGAAGCACAAGTGATCGCTGAAATAATTTAAATAATTGCGCAGTAGGGATCCATAGAATTGTTTTATAAAGTGCATGTTCTAAATTTGTAATGCATCAAATTGCGATAGTATTATTATGTATCTGATTTGAAAGTACCTAATATGTGTACGTTTAAAAGTCAAATACAATAATAAATTTACTTCCACTACAAAAACTACAATCGAGACCTAATCGCAGTAATATAATTTATATATTCATGTGTTACTATGATTGGATAAACAAATTGTTGTAAATTTGTAAATAAAAGGTATCGATTTACTTTCCAACTACACGCGATTAAGAGTTTGTCCACGGAATGTTTTTATCCGTGGACGATTCAAATAATTATACCAATAAATATACCACCGATAACACAATACTCATAATGAAGTCACGTCACAAAATGACAAATTAATAGGTACATTTTCGTTATTTAAAAAAACGTCGGCCCCGAAATTACAAACACAAGAAAATAAAATTAATGAAATCGGTAGAGCCTCCTCAAGGGGTAATCAGATATACACGAGGGAAGCTATATAGGTAGAATATATTTGATGTTAAAAAATACCTTCTAGAGAATAAATGAGGCACTCTCTAAAATAATAAATATCGTCGGGCGACTGCGCTGGAGGCAAGGGCAGCATCTTCAAGTCTATAGAGTTGAGAGCAATCTGCAACTCCGCAAACGAGAATGGGTAGGTAAACGCGAAGAATGTTGTAGCCTTCGTGTTTTCTGATGTTCGGTACCTGAAGCTCAGGGTGAAGGTGTTGTCATCGGTCTAGAAAAAAATAATCACTTTAACTGTAGTCCATTCGCGTTAAGAAAAGTGACGCATCGGTCAAACCCGCCCCTGAGCAATCAGGTTCCAAAAAAATATAGTTTCGTACATAATCTTGGTACCTGATCGATTACCTTGGCCTAACTACTCTTGATCGATCGATATTCTTAATGCGAATGGACTTCGATGTGAATAAACGCAATCTGGAAATCCATGCAGAGTTACTCAATTATTGGTTATTTATTAGGAGTTTCCTTTGTTTCTAAACTATCTCGTCTTTTCGGTGCACCCTTCAGTACCTATCTTATTGCTAATAAATAAGATTTAAAAGAGTTTTAGACAGTTTTGACTTTATTATTGTAGGACTAGATGTTTACAGTACATAGTAACTGCCCTAATAAAGCATTTTTATTATTCTATTTTACTCAGAGCATTTGGTTTTGTTAAAAAAAAGCAATTTATAACGGTAGCATGTTCTAACTCTCTAACCGTAAAAGGATAGTGTTTACGGGTTCGTATTTCCACGAATTAAAGGAGAATTTCCTTACAATTGTTTATTAATTTTTGTAATAAATAAGAATTATGGCATTTGCGCTTTGCATAAATATTTCTGATCTTTCCAATAGAACAATATCATTTGATAGTGTAATTCTCAAAACATTTAATAACCACTTTGTCAAGCTGTTTCCTACTAGCTGATATACATGATCGGTAATATACCTAAGGCGAACATTTTTTTTTTACTAATCTGTATACAACTGTGTATAACTTTATGGAACAGATATAAGTTGACTATTCAATATTTTATGGCTGAATCCGTAGTTTTATAGAGTGAATAATAGGATACATGTATGATTGGACTTGACTTAAATATCATTACATCATTATTTTTAATAAAATTTATTCGTAGTATACTCAAACATCTTTATTTCATAAAAAAATATTAAAATTATTTGAAATTGTCTCTTTTGTAGACTCTAAAGTCATAGATCAACACACACAATAGCAATTTAGCAAGAAAAACAGTGCGAGAAATAATATATCGGGGGACGCAGTGTGGAGGGGTGAGGCTGTGCGAAACCCGACCACCGCACGCAGGTGAAATTTACGCATTTTATGGCCAAAATTGATTAAAATGAAGTTTCTCTTATTCAAAAGTAGTAACCTAAATTACCATCCAGATATATAGCGCCATATATTAGTGACTAGCAAAACGTTTGACACTTTTTATTCTACTACCTACATATTTGAATAAGGTAGTGGTTGTTTACTGGAATAATTTGCTCCGATTTTCAATAACTCTTTAAGCCACGTTTAATATTTGTTTAGTTAATATTTTGAAAAAATATTATGGATCCCATACTTTCAGGTCTTTTTTAACAAATAACTAAAACGTTTACATCACTTACGAAAGTAAAGATATAGCGTTTTAAACACAAGACTATTTTTTATTGGTTTATTTTTATTCTCATAGTAAAAAAGTTTAAACTCAACCGCACTCAACCAGTTTTTTTTAATATATAAAAAGTACATTTTATTGGCTTTAATTTGATACTAAATTTAGCTGCGTCTACTTGCGTTCCCTGATCAAAGTGTTACATACAAAATTCAACAATGTAGAATTGTAAATGTATTCATAATTAATTTCAGGCAGTTCCCAGCATAATATACCAATTAGCCGAAGAAATCTAGTGAGTTTTTTATTTGATGGGTGTATCTAATGACCACGAGGCACGATTTCAATGCTTAATAACAAAAGTTCGAGAAATTACACACTGTGAAGACTAATTTCCAAATTATATCAAACAAGAGTTATTTCAATATATTTATCAATTTAAAAGAAGTGGCAAGATGTTTCAAGGAATAAAAAACGGTTCGAAAATAAATATAGATATAAACTGGCTAGATACATATATCAATATATACGCTTTGAAAACTGCTGTGCTCTATATTTTACATATTATAATCGACTCTGAATCTGAAGAGGCCCAAGAAAGTAAGTACAAAGATATTAAGAAATATCGTGAAGGTTTTACCCGAAAATTCTCTAGAAAACAAACTATGGAAGATTTATCTCATCAGCTTTTAATATCTTCAGATCCACACATTACATACAGGTCTTAGAAAACTACAAAAGACAAATAAAGTCCTATCCTCACGATGTTATAATACTCTTAAAAGAACGTCAAGTTATGATTTAAATTTGTATTTTCTTTTTTGTTTTCTTATAATATGGTATCAATAAAGCTTCTATTTTCATAATACACATTTAAAATATTATTTTAGACTACAGAAATATAGAAGCGTTAACATAATTAATATAATATTGGCCAAGTTTTCGATGAATTTCACCTGTGTGCACCGGCCGGTACCCACATAGCATAAACTTGTGGAGTAAAACCAAATTGTCTATTGTGTTATAATTATATATATATTATTGAAATAACTATGTGTACAGATTTACTGGCAGATTTGAATAAGGGAATAATTTACTGGACTTCATAAGATCAGGAAATACACAACTATCAACACATTGATTAAATGTAAATGACAATTGCTTAGCTTCAAGAGATATAATTGTCTTAGTAATTAATACAGAATTTCTCCATAGGTCTGTTGTTTTTTCAACATTAATAGTGTTAAAGGCTTTAATAATTTCAAGGGGTGAAACATATTGGAACTTAAATTCACTAACAATCCCACCAACATTTTCTTTTAAAATTCATTCAGCAAGGCATGGTGAGGAGTTCAAAGATTTAGTATAATATAGTTTATACACGAATATTCGTAAAAAAGTTCGCAATGAATGATGAATTTATTGTTTACATTCAGATTAAATTCATTATCGCAGTATTGGTTTTTTCCAGTTTCATTGTTAATAATTTTCCAAGTGGTTTTAATCTTATCATTGCTACTTTTAATCTTTGAATTTTAAAACGGGACTTAGTCTATTTACAAAGTTACCTAAATAGCTTTGAATATTCTTTAACATAGTTATGAAACTGTTCCCATTTATTATAATTTCTCTGATCATATAGCTCATATAATCGTTTCCTACTCTTTAGTAAGCCAGTGGTAGCCCATTCACTAATTGTGGCGTTACCTTTAACTACTAGGTTTGTTGGTATAAAAATTGTGTTAAATGTTGAAGTAAGTTTCAAAAAAGCTATTATAATAAGTGTTAGGGTTATTGTATATGTTACTGAAACACTGAAAGCAGCTTTAAGTTTATTTTTAAAGTTTTCACGAAGCTTTGCAGTTTTAGGTATCGTCACACAATCCTTTTTCTGCCACCTTTTCATATTTATCACAGAAACTTACTAATTAACCACAGTGGTCAAGTAAGTGAGTGTAATTGATTGATTAAGAGTTTTGACTAAGAGTTCATCCATAACACGTTCAAAACAATCATACGTTCAATATATAGCTGAAGGGGGTCGGTGAACACATACTACTATGAAACCTTTTAATTCTATACGGGCTATTTCTGTAGTTCGCTCAACTGGTAGACTAACAATGTCATGGCGCTATTTCAATTTAAGTTTCTTATTTATGAGTATCATAGTGCCATCATGTACTGCTGTACCTCTGCTGAACAAGCTGCCTACCTGGTGGTGATCAAAATTGAACATGAACTAATCCTGTTTAAGCCAATGTTCAGTAATAAAAAAATATCAATCCCATTGCAGTTCATGAACAATTCCACCTCCGAGTCTCTGCCCATAATTCCTCTAATATTATCTGACAACTTACTGTCAACGTATTGGCAAAGTCATTACGAGTTATGTCAATTTGCTCAATAAAAACAATAGTTTCAGCCAAGTTCTTGCCTGTAATTGAAAAATAAGATGATAGCGAAACTGCTATCTGTCTCCTATAATAATTAGAAAGGTAATGTGTACCTTTTGTCAGTGAAATATTATTACTAACAAGCTTTTTAGTGTCAACTATATGTAATCTATTATAATAGGGTCCATTTATTTGGCAAGTTAAAATATTATATGCGTGCGTCATTATATTAGATTATATCTACTATTTTTTTCCTCCTTTTTTTTTTTTTTTTTTTTTAACGTGTGGAAATCCCCTCGGACCGTCACCCCACCGGGGTTTGCGGCAGGGTGGTGTGTCGGACTCGGACCGACTAAAACCACACGGTGTGCCACTCTGCGCCTGTAACAGGAGGGATCCGGGAACAGCTATTATTAAGACATCCGAACCCCTCCTAGCGCCAGCCCGCTCCTGGTGCGGGCTCCGTCTCAAATTTTTTTTTTTTTTTTTTTTTTTTTCCCTCTCTTTAGGCGACGTCCGGCACACGCGGACGCCGCCCCCTCGCGGCTGGCCAAATTAATGGGGGTGGAGGGGAAACCCACCCCGTCCACTCGCGGCCACACTCAGGGCGGCATGAGGCGGTGATAGGCGCGCCTCCGCCGCCCGGTTCGCCGGCGGCGGATCGGGTCCGAGTGGAGGTCGTCCTCCCGGGCCTTCTCCGCCGCCTCCTTCTGCGAGATTACTTCCTCGCAGAAGGTTGCGACCGCGGTAAAACAACTGTCGCTACCGGCCATGGAGCGTACTACGGCCGGTAGCGAGAGATCCACTCCGATGACTGCAGTGAGGGCCCGGCGCTGCGCCGCCGAGTCCTCACTGCAGTCGCAGTGGTGGCAGGCGGGACTCAGTTCCCTCCTAGCGACCGAGTGCAGGTACTTCCCGAAGCAACCGTGCCCGGAAAGCACCTGCGTCAGCCGGAAGGTAAGGGTCCCGTGCTGCCGCCCTGCCCGCTCGGCGATGACCGGCTGGAGAGCCTCCACGGCGGCGAAGCCAGCGCGTGGAGTCTCCAGCCGGAACCACCAACGACCCATCGTGGCTCGGCGAGGCTTCGCGCCACTCGCGCACGTCTTCGGGCGGAGGGCGAAATCCGCTCTCCGCCCGGCAGTCAGCCACTCGCTGATAAACTTCGGCGAGCACTTCCGCCTCCAAATCCCACGGGGGAGTTCCGGCCAACG